CTCATGCGTTAAAGAAAGGTCTATCTGGGGCCCTTACCGAGGAAAGTTAAATGCAATGTATCGTTCTTTAATCGCTCTGATGAAGGGCTCACGCTTCGAAACATTAGCTTTAGAAACTCTTTACGGTGGCCAATTTACATTATCAACTCAGATGATAAAACCAAATTGTACCTTGTTATACCCTCCAACGACGCAGCACTACAGTTTCTTTAGAGACGTACCTCCTTAGTTTAAGTATATCAACTTTTTACAACTGAACAGAATTTAAATTTGAATGCGTCTTCGATTTTGAAAATCCTTTGGACTCAAAATGATAGTATGTTTGGCTTATTCCAGAGACAAGGTATTCTTAAATGACGGAAAGAAATCAGCTGCTGAATACAAAGCAAGGTATTGTGAAATCTTCTTTTTCAAGTGCCATAACGAGTACATACATACATACGTAAGTTAATTGACCACTCCCCATAGGGGCTTTTCAGGGCCAACACCCACCCATCCCGCCCAGGGAAGGACATCCACCATACAGTAATCTCGTGTGTGGGAAATTAACGTCTCCTACCCCTAACCCTGCAGGAGACAGGGCCTACGGTCTATTCGTCCTTATCCGAAAAGACTAGAATATCTATCCGTTTCTTGATTATAGAAAGGTAGCAAATTCTCCTCACTTATTTTAAGACCATGAGTATTGGTCCGGCCGGGGCTCGAACCCCCGACCTCCCGCACAACACAATGCGGCGCTCTAACCAATTGAGCTAACCGGGAGGCGGTTGAATTTGAGCTCCGGGTAGAATTTGATTGTCATCTTAAAAAAGCAGTCTATGTAAAAGCGGTTTACTTTATTTCTATTTTAGCTGAAAACATTTTTGTAATTTCAACTTTGCCCTTTAAACAACCCCTAGTTCCCTCCTTATCTGTACCTCATATGGTTCCGACGGGTTTCGCTGGGACCGTCTCTTCCAATTTTGGACTTTTCCATGCAATTTCGAACGGTTCGCTCCACTTTAAGTTAGACGTCCATCTTAATCATTAGTTTCTTAGTTTATGTATATGGCTTGCTTGGTGTTTTGTCAACAAATCTGCGAATTTTGCTGACTTGTTCGACCACTCCAATCATGTCATGCTCTCTTCATGCACTCAGGACTGTTACAAACTTCTTGATCGTACATAAACAGTGCGCTAATCAACAAACAACTGCGCCTCCCATAATTTGACAAGTTATTAAGTGTTCATCATGGTTGCATTGTTTTCATTTCCCCTCAGAATTCTTTTAGCCCTAACACAGCTGTTCTTGCTGCTGAGTGACCCAGTGTCTGCATTGCCTCACGCTCTTGACTGCTTGACCACCTCATGTTCACACTACATGGATAATTCAGCTGCGTTAGCCTCACTTTACATCGCACAAATCCAGGTATATGACTTCCAATGGCGAGGTAACTGTGTTACAAAGAATTTTCTCGTTGGTGAACGTTGATATTAATAGAAGTTTAATCTTGGGTTAGTTTGGGTTTTGTTTTGGTGAGGTAAAAAAAGGCGTTCAGGTATAATGCTTTCTTCAATTTTGGATGCATCCGTTTGGCGTACGCTTTGTTTTCGTTTGTGTTCATACATGTAATACATTGCATTAGTTTCTTAGACGACTTTCAAAGGCATTTATGTTTTGAGTTGGGTTAAAACCTTTGGAACAAGTTCGCTTACGTATGCATGTCCATGAGCTGACAAGTAGTCAGGGATTTGTTTGATAAAATCGCAAGCTTAGAACTTTTGATTGCGCAACATTAACCCGACAACAATACCATCACAGTGGTCAATCAGAAGGAAGTAAAATGTCATAAGCAGCCAATCAGAACTCAAAGTAAAGGGACGATCTTTAGCGCGGGAAAACACGCGTATAATTAAGTCAGGATTAGTGCCATTTCTGCATTTGATTGTTTGTGAGTACAGCACAATCTTTTCTTGGCCAATAACAGTCTAGTAAAGCAAACTGATCCTTTCTACACACTCAATAAAAATGGTTTTACTTTATTACTGAAAACATGAGCACCAGGAACTGTCATCATTTACTTGCTGTAGCAGTAACGTAGAACACTATACCGTTCCTTTAAGCTATCTTTAGGTTTACCAGCAAAAGCTGTGGCTCTGATCAAGAGAACCATGGTCCAGATTCTATCACATGGTGAGTTGAGAGCTGTTGATGTGTAAATTACTACCCTGACCATGGTATATTAGATTCCTTTGACAATACGAGTAGGAGGCGCAGTGGCCTAATGGTCATTGCGCTGGACTCCTGGCGGAGAGCTCTGGGTTCGAGACATGGTAGGGTCAGTGTGTTGTGTTCTTGGGCAAAACACGTTACTCTCACAGTCGAACTCTTTCTTAACTTCATAGGTATCAACTAACGCTTTTCATTCTACTTATTCATGTTTTTCTCGTCACCATGTTCCCACCAACAGCATAACCCCACTTTCTGCATATAAACACACACATAACCCACAATTCCTCCATTC